ACACCGTACGCCATATGGATGGGCCTACTTGTGCCAAGCAAACCTAGTACCGGTGGAAAATTTTCAGAATTATTGGGTCAAGTCTTTCACTTGACCGCAAGGTGAAGGGACCCAAAGTAAAGAGATATGTATAGACATACATAAACCCTGCTTTGGAGTAGGTAACTCGTTCTACCCCATCTGGGGCGAGGATTTCAATATTGGAGTAGTTGCAGTCCTCCTTCACAACAGGGATGCTAGAAGGACGAATGGAGGAGGGGTACCTACGAACTGTCCAAAACCTGCTACATTGGGAATTTGCAGGTGCGATTTGCTCCTGGAGATAGGATGTGGTGCTAAGATGGAGTGGTATAATGGTGTTTACGGTTGGAGGTTCAGATTCGACATCAACCTCTTTGGTCTTATTTTTCTTTGGACCTCCACCAAAGACAAAATCAGAACTCTCGGAGACGGCAATACGAGAAGACATGATGATAAGAAATCTGTGAAGAGGTTTTTACTAAAAGGGTTGGGTGTTGCAGAAAAGCTCTAAGGAGATTCAGAGAGGGAGAAAAAGTTGTGAAAGTAGTGAAAGTGAAGAAGTAAAAATGATGAGTAGCAGAGAAGTTATAAACGGAAAAAATCGTGATCATGATTACCTCGAAAATCGGAAAATATACTCACTGAATCACGGGGCAATACGTGTTCGGGGTATTAAATGTGAGGAGACGTGCGTCCCTTTAAATGTCATAGACCGTTCAGGAACTTCTCCGCCAAGAAAAAAATTCTCATCTGCTTCCCAGTAACACTAAGTTGTGTCACGAAGTGTGTGACCGGTACTGGATGAGTAAGCAAGTAGCTGACATCGGGTGCGAAGTGTGTGACCGGTACTGGATGGAGCCCAAAGGAAGCATAATCGGTAATTAAGATTCAAAGGTTTGACATCGGATAGCATTTAATGAACAACTGTTATAGAGAATATCTGCATTCAAAGAAGGCCATTATGCACCCATCAATGACGTTTTTATTCTCATTCAAGAGGAGCTTGATTGTAGGATCTTGTCCCCCTAAATAGAGGCCATAAATAGCAAGATTAACAACCATTGTAGAACATGAAATATTCTGCACACAAAAGCTATAATCTACTATTTTACGCACGATCTAAACAGTTTTATTATTGCTTTTACTTTTGCTCTCGAAAAGACTAAGTTTAGAGTCAGGCTTGTTATCTCCTTTAATTTTATCCGTTAATCTTATTTTTGTTCCTATTTCTTTATTATTTTTTGGATCAAGTCAATTCGCTTTTCTATAAACCACACTATAAATTCAACTGTACCATTTTACGGGTAAACACTTTACACTCTATGTCATCTGGATTCTTAATATATCAAAATTCGTACTCTTCCCATATTGTTATATAGTTGACCCTGGTCTCTTTTTTTTATTTACATTGTAGCAGGCCTTGCCCAACATGGCCTACATTTTCATCTTCTCCACCAATTCATAGACCCAAATCGAAAACGTCACCTCCTGTCATCATCCCTCTTTTTGCATTCATAATAAAGTTAGGAGGAGAAAATCTCAGAATCTCCATTATTGAAATTTTTGAATTTATATCTTCAAAGTTGAATCTAAAAGTTGTGAGTCCTATTGAATTGTAGTTGTCAAACTCCATGTGTTGTTGTGTTTGGAGCTCAAATTGTAGTTAGAGTACCGATTTGTGAGTTTTGGACGGTGAAATTAGATTTTAAAAGTAAATTACAATTATTAAACAAGCTTAAAGAAGTGATTCTAAATTTCGAGTTTAATTTTTGTGAGAAATTTGGAGTGGATGTTATTTAGCTAGGCTTGTTAGAAATAGTTTAGATAGTTGTCCGTAACATTTGAAGTGTTTTACTGGAGACTTGGACTAGTTTTGAACAAGAATTACAATTAAAATTGCATAATTTTTTTATCTTTGTAGGTAGCGATGTGTTATACACTTTTATACATTACTATTACACACTTTTATAGTCAATATAGATGCATTATTTATAAAGATGTATAAATACTGTATAATAGTAATGTATAAGGGTGTATGTGAATTGTTGCAATAAAAATATTGACTATACAGATGTAAATTAAAAAATATGACTATGTAGGTGCAAAGTATTGTAGTAGGCGGTATATTTTTGAAAATTCCCCGAGATAATAGCCATTTGGAGATTTGCACAAATAGAACCATTTCGAATTACTATTTATCTTTCGTTCCCGTTTAAATAAGTTTTTCAAGGGAGATTAACGAGATATAACTTGGTCAAAATTATAGGAGAGGCATAGCTTGCTCAAAATTATGGGAGGCATACTTGGCATAACTTAAACAAAGTTATACTGAGGCATACTTGGCATAACTTTGAATGAATGCATATCTACTGTGGGAAAGGCAGACATGCACTGGATATCGCTTCTAAAGATTACGCTTCAAAATTCCATCATCACCGTCATGACATCTAACCTAACCCGCTAAGTAAATTAATAATCATAATCAACTAGAACAAGTGAAATATAGGATAAAGTACAGTCATGATATAGATAAAATAAGATAAATCTCACAACATCATCCAAAATAAAAAACACCACAATGACTCTCAAAATTCGATAGTACGAAGTCATGAACATCTACGATAAAGATACATGTGAGACGTGCAACTACTGTTTGAAACATAAATAAGTAGCATGAAAATGGAAGAAGGTGACTTCAACGGCATGCGGACAATCAATCAGCACTACCTCAAGTCTCTTACATCAGCTACTAGGAATCCTCCTGAGGTCCACTCGAGCCAATGCCAGAATCTACAAAAAATATATATAACTGTAGTATAAGTACATAGACAATATGTACTCAGTAAGTATCAAGACTAACCTCGATGAAATAGTAGCGAGATTAAAGTCATATAATACTCACTAACAAACAAACATGTACAATTCATGCATATAATTAGAAAGACAAGGAAAAGAGATGCTGTATCGTAGAACAGTGTATCATGACATAGCAAGTTAACATGAATCGTTTTATCTCGACTATCAAGTCCAAAGCATACAACTGAGGCATCAAGCAGAATATTAAAAGATAAGCACTGAAAGTATATAGTATGCATGATATGGCATAAAGTATTCATTTGAATGGTCATGGTTTCCATCTTTATGTCTAACTCATCATCCAACATCATCATATTCAGACACTCATCAGTGTCTCCCAAACACCGTATGTACGCCACCAAAAGAGAAACATGGGAAGGCCGCCTTAGGGGATGGATCTATATCCACAAGTTGCACGGAAAGGACCTGGTGCCATAACAATATCATTATCACCATGACCGCACCGCAGAAACCTCGTGCCACAACAACATCAATCCGCTCAAGATGTCCAAATATGCCATAATCATATCAACCCAAAAGAAGCTATTCACCACCAAGGATGAATGCATATACTCATAAAATAACCAATAAGGTGCATATTATTAAGTATTATTTGGTTAGATTTGAACCGCTTGGAGGTGTTTTCTAAAGGAAAGGCGATTTTGGAGAGTTGATTTGACTTGTTAAAGTAAGTATCTTCCCTAACCTTGTTGCGGGAAAATAACGCTTAGAATATGACCTTGTTTGCTTAGTTGTAATGTGTAAGATGTAATATATATGCAAGGTGACGAGTATATATATGGGTGCTATATATGATTCGTGGTCGAACTAGACTTTAGGCTTTCTTTATGCCTTGTTTGGTTTTGTGCCTTCTATGATTCATATTATTAATCAATTATAACTATGTGAGCTTATCCTTTCATGTTAGTAACCATGTTTAGGATTACTACCTATTACTTGGACAAGATGGGCTATTTGTAAAATTGTTATTATACGTGATTTAGTCATAGCCATGTTTCACATCGTGGGCACACATCCGCACTTTTATTTATTATGTCCATGTGTACCTTATTGATTATTTATGAGCATATGCTTCTTTAAAGATAAAATGTTATTTCGGATTGCTATGATTACGACACATTTGGACATGTTGAGCGATTTGATTTTGGATATGGCACGAAGTTTCTGTCGTGCGGTGATTGTGATATTGTTATTATTGTGGCACGAGATTTTTGCCGTGTAGTTATAGTGATAGTGTTACTGTTATGGCACAAGATCTCTATCGTGCAACGTGTAGATTTGGATTCATCCCTCTAGAGTCGTCCTCTCATGTTTCTCTCTTGATGACGTACACGTAGATTGTGATAAATTGACAGATGTTTGGTTGATTATGATATAGAATCCGATTATGGTGAGTTTGAGCATAAATGTGGAAGCTTTGACCATCCAAGTGAATCGCTTATGCCTTATCATGCATTTTATATGCTTTCTATATTGAATTTTATGCTACCTCAAGCCTTTGTTATGTGTTTTTGACTTATTAGTAGAAATAGAGTTATCCATGATAAGTTTATATCTCTTGATATGATTGACGATATTGTATTCTTGTCATAGTCTTGTTGTGAATAATTATGAACTATTTAGGTTTATTTGATTATAGGTATCCCATGACCTGAACATCGTCACTACTTCACCGAGGTTAATCTTGATACTTACTGAGTACATGTTATCCCATTCTTATACTACACTTCTACATATTTTTTGTGCAGATCTGGGCATTGACAATTATAGTGTTGATCGCCACTATGTGTGTATCGCCACGCCTAATATTGGGTTTTTACAATTCGTTCAGAGAATATATTGCAAAAAAGGAAAAACTAATTCACAACAATTTATCCGTTGAAGTATCTGAATTATAAGTGTGTTTCCAAATTTTTAACCTCTACCAAAGTTCATGATTTTTATAAATTTTAAAGTGCATTGTCATGTTTGTCCACTATGGAATGCTTGAGGGACATCGTCAAATTTGTTCAATTTCTTGTAATTATCAGACGAATTAAAGATAATAAATAAATAAAGTAAATCAAACGACTTAAAGGAGTAAATTGATTGGAGAATATATGCATGCATAGAAGGAGAGAGTTTCATTACTGAAGACAAAGTTAGCTATTCAATAGATAGCTATTATTTAAAAATAGAATTGCAAATTGCCGGAGGGAAATGACATTTCCTATCAGAAGGCATCATTGCTATTGCACCATAGGATTGTATTTCTTCTACTTTTTGATGGTTTTATACTTCATTCAAACCCTGGAATCATGACCAAAAAGGGTCAAACAAATAAAAGGACAACACGAAAAAACTGTTTAAGTGTATAAGTAAATACATCAAATAAAGAACATATATACTCGAGAGGTGCTCCCTTTAAAGATTTAATAATTGTCATATTTAACTTCCAATTGCCCTCTATAAATAATTAGTTTGCCCGCTCTAGTAATAAAATATATTAGAAATGAATCAAGGGTTTTAACATATAATTGGACACTTAACAAACATTGGACACACTACTCATTTAACATGTGACTCATGCACTATGTAGCGCGAATTAGCAAAAAATATTGATGCACTCGTGTGGGATTCTCCAAAAGATAATACTACTCTGGAAGAATCTAACACATCTGAGCAACATAATTCATGATAAACAAGTAATACTCTTATAAAATGGTGGGAGAATTGAAGCTTACTTGGAACAATCAACATTGGGATCAATGGGCATAGTGCTAGTGAAGTTGCAAAGCTGAGGAAGTCTCTGAGCTTTCTGAATATCTATAGGGAAAGTTAGCGTAGCAGCTTTGTAGCATTGGCACATAGCTTGACGATTTGGTTGGGACGTAACAACATCTCTACTCAAATCTTGCAGTATAACACAACACTCTTGGCTTGGTGTTGCACTTTGACTTAGCAAAAACCCATGACAAGAACTCATTTGCGGTATCAAATCATCACATTCAATTTTATCTGCTTTTGTTTGGACTATAATTAGAGCCAAAGTGACCAAAGCCAATATTTGGACATTTGACATTTCTTTTCTCTAGAAGAAAGTTGATGGATTGGTTTACTTTTTCCAATATGTTAAGGTGGAAGTCTATTTATATTATTTTAAAAGAGATGATGTATGGCTAGAATTTCTTTTTACTACTTCTGTTATTGATTTGGCCCTCTTCTAAGTTTCTCCTAGTGTGTGGTCCCTTATTTTGGAAAGATATATCAATGTTAAAAAAGAGAAAAGTCAAATAAAGCAGTGTGAAGCTTCTTCCTCTTAGGAGTTACGTTCTTTCTTACCATTATCCTAGAGATAAAACCTATTGACTGTTAAATTGAAGGGACAATATATAAGTTGGGCCAAAGATTTGGTGAGTTATTAACGAGAATATCTAAGAAACCAAGTCGGTAGTTCCACCCATTTATATTATGTGCTAGCTTAAATGGGCTTTACCTGTAAAAGTGGACAGTGCAACTTGAGCAGCCTAACTCAATTCCGAGTCTCAGAAGGGTATAGTTTTATGATTTGAGTATGTCACGATCCCAATTTCGCACCTTAATATGTCGTGATGGCACCTAGTCTTTATGACTAGGTAAGCCTAACACATCTTGATTTAATAATAGAATTGAACTATTTAATCATTTATCATAAACCATTAAATGACATACATAGCCGCAAGCGGCCAATAGTTATATATTTTTTCAAAATCGGCAGTACGGAGTCATAAGCACTACTAAAGCACACTAAAATTTCTAAACACAATATTATTTTAAATTACAATTTAACAGTAGCATAATGAAGTAACATGGTGACTTCGAGGCCTGCGAACGTCAAGTAAGTATACCTTGAAGTTTCCCACTGTGCAGATGTAACTCTCAACAACACAATCAGTGTCACGACCCAATTCCCACTATAGGTCGTGATGGCGCCCAACGTCATCGTTAGGCAAGCCAACGGTGAACTACCAACTTAATTATTTATTTTATTATTTTCGAAGACGTGAATTTTATTAGATAAAGAAATTAAGGCATAAAAATCAAGAAAACTTACAATTTAAATAGAATAGATAATAAAAGTGTGCAAATGCTAAGGAAAACCACAAACAAATTCTAGAACATCCCAAAAACCAGGTGTCACAAGTGCATGGGCGTCTACTAAAGAGTGCAATAATAATACAACCTATGTGTGAAATATAAGATAGACACGATAAAGTAAATAAATAAGATGGAGACTATGTGGGCTGTGGTGCATAGCATAGGAAGCAGCTCACCATAAAGTCCACTCAGCAGTTACGCCTACGCACCAAGATGGCTACCAAATGAACCTGTCAGATCCTATACATTTAGTGCAGAAGTGCAGCATGAGTACGTAAATCAACGCGTACCCAGTAAGTATCTAACCTAACCCTAGAGAAATAGTGACGAGGGGTCGACATCGATACTTACTAGTGGTCCAATAAAATAATATAATAGATTAAAAACAGGTATGAAACACAACAGTAACCATGAGATAAAAACTGTAACTCACATAATTTCCCAACTTTTCTTTTGACAATATAAACCTCTCGAATGTCATATGATATCTCAACATATCATAAATATCAAATGTAATCCCAAATGGATAAGGAATACCATACAAATGTCAGGTCTCAATAAAAGGGGCATCTCAAGAATATTTGGGCTCCTAGTGATATTACGCACGATTATGTAGAGGTCGTACGACCCTATCCAGAGTGGTGTGTACACTACCGAAGGTCGACCGGCGCGAACCAGAGATACATCTCAATATACTGTCGAGGTATTCGGCCCGATCCACAGGATTTGAAGAAACTTACCGAGTTACGAGTCACGTGCTTACAACACATGTAAATGAGCATAAATTAAACATGACATTTTACTGTTTATCAATTTTCTCTCCAAACAACTCAGAGTGATAAAGCTCGGCCTGATATATTCCCAATTCAATTTCAATTATAAATTCAATTAATTAAGGTAGAAAATTGAATTCAAATAATTCAAATATTATATGATAAGATCTTAAGTCTATCTGGACATAAACATATTTTAGCTACATACGGACTCTCGTCACATCGTGCGTACGTAGCACCCACAACTAGTAGCACATAACAATTACATCACCTAGGGGTAGTTTCTCCCTCACAAGGTTAGACAAGAGACTTACCTCGCTCCGAAATCTGATAACCGGATTCAACACCTCTTTAACAACTCAAATCGATGCCCATCGATCCGAAACTATCCAAACAACATGCAAACCAATCAAAATATACTTCAATACTCATAACTTAACAAATTATAATAATTTCCAACTCCGCTCGAAAAGTCAATAAAGTCAACCCTCGGGCCCAAGTGTCCGGATTCCAAATTGTTTTGAAGATAAATATTACTCATGACACCACGAACTCAAATATATAATTTATTCCTAATTCAATGTCCAATTTCTTGGTCAAAATCAAAAAAAATATAAAATCATAAGTTTTCTTCCAAAATCCCCCAATTTCCACAAAATTTCATATTTAAATCCATATATAATTCACGTATTTATCTTACAACAAGTGGGAATAACTTACCTCATGATATATGGCAAAAATGATCTTCAAGAATCACCCCAAATTGCCTCACATGTGCTCCAAAAACATAAAAGTGAAGAAATGAGCTCAAAATCCCGAAATTAGATGTTTAATACACTTGTCAGGCCTCCTTCTTCGCGATCATGGTCATAAGCCACATGATCGCGGTTAGAAAAAGTTCCAGCAACATTTCCTTCATCACGATCGCGGCCAAAATCTAGCGATCGCAATGTACAATTTGTGTTTTCTTCTTCACAGACACCCTTAGGTATAATGGTTATAACGTTTTGTACAAAATTCTAAATAATAAACGGTTTGATTAAAGTATGGTGTCAAATGAAATAATGAGTTTATTTTAGAAATCAAGTAAAGTAAAATAATATCATATTTGTACAAAACATAGTATAAGATGAGTTTAGTTTAGAAATAAATAAAATTGAGTAAAAGGATTATTTTTAAACAAAGAAAAACATAAGTTTAATTAATGAATCAAATATAGAATTTTCTTAAAGAAACATATGATAACAATTTTAAGTAAGGTAAACATCTAACAGGGTGATGAGTATAATTTGAGAACTCAATTATAGTGAAAGTGCGATAACCATTTAGAATCATAAGGCACCGAGTGAGATAACGAGTTTTATTTTAAGAGGCACATAGAATAAAGCATATTAATAATTCTTTTATTTAAACCATTATGTTACCAATAACTCAACAAAATATGATATAGTGACTCCACGCAATTAAATTCACATTGACAATCAATTCACCAAGTTATAACGGAGGCACAAATTGGCATGTTAAATAAACGCAACAAATCACGTAGAATGCATGACTCACACAAGAAACCACAATCGCGCCAACACCAAGATAACAACGAATAACCAAACACAATCAAAATGCGGATGAATGATTGAAGGAAGAATAATGACCGTTCAAATTAACAAGTTGTTCCAACATAGAATGTATAATGAAAATCACAACCGAGGTACCGCCTCATATTCACATTACACAATTTCAATCACGATCTTTCCTTATATCACCGCGTGAGCCTTACATTTAGTTTTGAAAATCATTTTTTCCCAAAATAACTATACGCGTTTTAGCCCACCTTATCTCACCGCGTGGCTTCAAGTAGTTCCCCTACTAGCAACACACCTTTCAAGCCCACCTTATCTCACCGCATGTGTATCAACCCCTAGCCTTATACCACCGCATGTGTATCTATATCACAAAACAATCACAATTCGCACCACAAGTGCCCATAAGGCACAACTTGCCACAAAGTCAACGACACCAATATTTTCACAACAAATAGCCCATGACTCAACCACAATGTGTACAAGAATTCAATAATAACAAAATGAATGAGAATGCTGAACAAGGAAAGGTATCTCAAAAATTAACAACTTCGCCCCAATGTGATAACGGCTATTACAACTTCAACACCAATAACTCAACAAGATGATATTCCACGAAA